AAAAAGTTTGGGAACCACTGCCATTAGAGATGCAGCTAATATCCTAAAAACACCATGGCTCTGTTGAACCAAATGTACATGTCCCCTCTAWATGAGTTTATATTAATTTGCGTTAAAAAGGAGCATGTGCTCGCTGAGTCATAGTTGTCCTTTTAAATAACAAGTGTGAGTTGTCCTCTGAGACGAAGCGTTAGTGACAGAGGTGCTGATCTGAAGCTCACCTGTTGAATAAAACCACCTCTGCTGTYTGGCTTCAGCACGTCGCTGGAGAGGCCGACACGTCTAAAGTGACTCTCTGAGATCCTCGCCRTTTGAATTAATTAAAGTTGACACCRAGTCAGATGGAAATTACCACGAAACTCAGACATCAGCCTCTGCTTTAATCCAAAGTGACTCTGAACAAACTGTTAGTGTCTGTTAWCGTTAGATGGGCAGTCAAATAAAAACATGAAGCCTGAACATAGARATGTTTTTATCTTATATCTGGATTAGATGTAGATGAAAATGTAAACCTTACATTCACTGATACAGAGATTCATGGATCTGATCATTTTAACTCAAGCTTTGTTCATTCTGCAAAGGTTTTTATTTGGTAAGCAGGGATTAAATGAYTGAAGCACAACTCATTTTTACCAACATTTCTTCATTCTTCTTCACGTTTTTCTTTCACCTTTGGTCTCATCCTCAGAGYGTGAGTTCTTTGGAGATGTTGGGTCGCAGGAAGAGCTCAGTCTGTGTGCCCCGAAATCTGGGACAACTCTTGGTCCTGCTGCAGTACCAGGTTCTGTCCCAGAGGATCAAAGTGATGGTCCGGAAGGCCGAGAACCTGGCCAAGCTCACACGGATCCCAGGAAGTCCAGGTGAGGATCAGGCAGTCTCACGCTGAAACGTCTTAAACACAGCTTCRCTTGGATTGAAAGGACTGCTGTTCTCTGTCCCAGTTTGTCACAAAAAGCTTTTTTATCAAGTTGATTTCCAACTTAATAAAACAGCCAATAAAATAGCCACAGTGGTTAACCTTTGTACCCCATAAATCCCAGGCTGTATTATTTATTGCAAMCTTTCTTAATTTACTTTTGATTTATTCTTTTAAGTTCCAGGATCACACATGTTCTGTTCAAGGTTATGGCTGCACAATAAACCAAAGATAATATCTATTGCCATACACACTGTCAAACCCAATAAAGAATACTTCTGATACAAAGTTGAGAGTTTGACTGCACTCTGATCCAGAACCGCACAGCATTCTGGGGGATGTAGGCAGAGGAAAGGCTTTAGCTGCTCGACCTCTCATGTCCCAGCTAAGGTTGGTGACATCAGCTAACTTACTCACCCTATAGTAAGTTTTAACAACCATGTTGCGTAACRTACYAGTGCWTWCTGTGGCCCAGAACTGCYTCAAAATAAAAAAGAAGGAGGTGGAGCGAGAGGAGAAAATGAGGCAAAAGCTTGAGAGGAAATTGTGGATRAAAGRGGAAAARGTCAGATCACAAATTTGACMGTATTAGTCGGCCATTTTTCTCTTGGTCTTTATTTCCAGTAAAACAAAAACTAAATTATTGTCAATATTGATCGATATGAAACTTATGTCCTGATRTATTTTTCAGCCTTATCGCCCAGACCTGTTCATGGTCAGTATAACTTCTGTTGCTTTTTTGCACTTTKCTTATAAACTGCCCCTAAATTACAGAAATATGCAGCCTGACTGACTCAGCAGAAACTGTTCTAAGTTTTATTCTGTTCTCTTTGTGCACAACGATTAACACTTAAAGGACAGCTTCTTATAATGGTAAAATTAGATTTMCATTGAACACACCTGTACACTGAATTTTTTGCTGCTAAATGCTTTCTGTGATATTTAACTGGACAATTTTTTATATTAAACATGGAAGTATTGAACTGAGACTCAGTTTCACTAAATACAGCTTTTTAAATGACTTGGTAAGTTTTAGTGACAAAATTCTGATAAGGAAATTCCTTTCTCATAAATTTTCTCTGTTTTGTTTGTCTAAACATCTGCTTCAGTCTGCACCTCCTTTCAGTTTTATTCCTATTAGAATTTAATTAATAAAAGTGTCCCATTATAATCATTGTCAACATTTTATGTGTTTGCCTTTGTAATATGTTTTCTAACTCCGAACGAGAAGAATAAATTTACTTTAACTGTGGACAAATAAAGAAGGAGGGAAACACTTTATTTATCATCTTATTCTAAGTTCAGATAAAATGCACGCTGCACACAACATTTCTTCCTGTGTTTTCTCAGCTGCAGTCAGATTGGACCAGATCAATGATTTGCTGGTAAAATAATCAGATCAGGAGCTGATCAGCCCGGTGTCATTTCCCCTCCTGTTTGATCCTAAACTCTCTGCAGCTGATTTACAGTCCTGCTGCTGCTGCTAACCGAGGAGGAAACAAGAAGACACACAGGGAGGCAGAAACATGTTCATTATCGGGTATTCTGAGCAAATATTATGACGTTTAAAACTCTTTTGATGGTGTTACAGGGATTTCCAGATTTAGCTTTCTAAACTGGATTATCGGGAGAGATTATGTTTTTAATTAAATGCTGAAGATGAGATGAATCGATGGAGGCGGTTCAAAGAGATTAAGGAGGGAAGTTAGTATGTAATTAATTTTTGTCAAGTTCATGTTCATAAACATCTTTTGATGATCATTTAATCTAATTTGACATTTTAATCTAACATTAACAGAGATACAGTCAGTTCTTATAATATTTGTATATCATTTTTTCCCCCAACAGACCATTATATTGTCATCAACCTGCGCCATGATGGAAAAATAATAGAGACAAAGGAAACCAAAGGGTCCAGCGGTCCCAACCCCATCTGGAACGCTCCCTTCCTGTTTGACCTGCCGCCCGGTGACATCACCGAGCTGCAGCTGGCTCTCGAGTTCATCGTCATGCAGGTTTGAAGTTTCCCACCAGCTCCAGCTTCATGCATTAAATAAAACTCTGTCCAGTTTTAGGGTGACGGCTCAAATCTTGCCTCTGCTGACTGTTGATGTTGCAGGGCCGTCTCTACACTAAAAGCAGCGTTCTGGGTCGCGTGCTGGTCGGCAGCGATGCCTCAGGGGCCGGACAGGACCATTGGAGGGAAATGTGCTGTCCGGGACAAACAGAGACCACTCAGTGGCACACCGTCCTGTTTGAACCTATTTAGTAACAGGTGGTCCGTGTGTCTACAGATCTGTAGCAGTGGAAACACTGGTCACTGTGTGGAGGGAATGATTCATATCAGCAGTTTCTCTCACCTGGTTTTGGATTATTTCAAATGTGATTCCTAAACTATTGTCTGTAAAAGTCTGGAAAACTTGTGTGAAACAGTTGAAGTTGTGGTACTCTTTGTTTTGTGGCAAGAAGCTTAAATTATTCATGTTGGCTGGAAAAAAAATGCCTCCAGCCTGAATGATCCAATCTAGACATAATTTGATCCACTTATAGATAATCAATATGTTACTGCTCTGTCCGTCATTAACTGGAATGTGTTCCTGTGCCAGTTTTTGTTTATTAAACTATTTTGATGTAATTATGTGTAACGCTTTGCAAGAGCCTGTTAGTGCAGTTTTTACAGCATGCTGACTAAATTATTTGTTCCTTTTTTTGTTCTGTCCTTTTTTCATCTTACAGTAAATTCACAATCACTGTCTGAGGGTTTAAAGCTGATGCGTTGCAGTTAGACAACTGATTCATGTGCAAAAGGGTGAATGAGAAATACATTGTAAAGCACTTTATAATCCGTATAACAAAGTTTAGAGACAAAGAAACAATATAACTGTGTTCAACATTTCCCATCTCTAATAAAGGCATCACCCCATGTTTTTATTCAGTCACATGATAAGATGGAGAAATATGACTTTTATATGCCTGCGTCTTATTTATTTATTTATTTATTTATTTAGTTATTAGAACCTTTTAGACTCTGACAAATACAGCTGAACAACATGGAATGAGTTTATCAGAAATAATGGGGTGTAAATTATTTATTTATTTATTTATTTATTTATTTATTTATTTATTTATTTATTGTTCCGTTCGTTATTGACTTCATCATGTTGGGTTTGTTGTGACCAGCTGAATATCTGCTGGTGACAATTACTGTCTCAACTATTGTGTTTGTTCATGTCGTTAGAAGAAAACAGATCATTTAAACCAGCACAAAGGTTTTGTTTTGTGTGTTTTGTGAGTTTTGTTGACTAAAGGGGGTAACWTTTTTTTTTACCAAACTGTGAAAGCTGTCAAATCAAATTCTACAAAAAAAAGATGCTTCTGCTTGTGAAAAGAAACATCCAGTTGTCTATTAGAGCTCTGAGAAACATTAAGTTCACCTACAGCTATGAAAGCCAGGTGGTCTCTGTGTTTATGCAGCAAAATTCTTTTACAGATTTGATAAAATGATTGATATATTTAATGCCTCTAACCTCATGAGAAACTATTGCCTAGTTGTCTTTATTCAAAGGAACTATTTGAAGTTTTTTTTATTTTCAGTAAAATATATGGTTATATTTTTAACTCCTAGTTCTTCAAAACATTTTTTATATTTAAAAGGTTCTACTCATCCTAAATAGCAGGGAATATTTTTAAAAAAGCACAAAGCAGAAGCTTGGGACTCAAGAAGATAAAACTGCTGGGGCCAGCAAATTCTTGAGGGTGAGGTGGTGGGCACAGCCCCCCACTGGCCACCGCCACTTTGCACCCCCTGGTGATTGGCAGGTGATGTTCCACAGAGGAAGAACTAGCTGGAGCCACAGCACCTCGCACCTCTCTGTTGGATCTGAAAGACAAACGGGCAGACATTCTTTATGTGGCTCTAGCAGAGACAAGAGTTTTTCAACTTCATGTCTGCTGAGTTATTAGTAAGCAGCTGGTTTGTTGTCACAGGCTGAGGCTGAGCTTTATGGGACACGTTTTCTGATCGAAGCCGCTCGGCCCGTTAAGTTAGGTATATATACGTACTATAACTCAGCCCTTAGAATAACAGTAGTGCTCTGTAGTGTTYAGAGGTCCACTCCACTCAGATCAGCTGACTAGAGAGGTGTGTTATGGCACCGCAAAACAAGAGCTCTCTGAGTGGCCACGGGGCTGATCGCAGCGTAACCTCCACAGGGGCGGTGCGAACCGCCGGCAGCCCATCGGCCCACWGGGAAAACTCCCGGTAGACTTACATACCAGTCCGCTCCTGCCCCAAACATGAAAATGTGATCWGCAGTGCTTCAAGCAATGCTGGTTCCATTTGCTGCTGGTAAAGTTGATGGATCATGATGATAACGGTGAAAYATATTTGGAAACTATATCTCAATGTTAGGAACATACTGTTAGGTGTTGGCATTGAAACCAACAGTATTCAAGGTTTTCTAACTAAGTGGTCTCGTTTTGCAGATTTAACTATCTCAAAACACACAAACACACACACACACACACACACACACACACACACACACA